TAAATAAAAATTTTAAAAATAATATTCATTTCGAAACAAAATTTTTATTTTTGGTTTAATTACATAAAAAATTGCGTTTTTTAAGAAAAAAGGAAAAAAATGCATTTCTAATGTTTTTTTATGATTTCCTGGTACTCAAACTTCATTTGAGTACCAGGTTAACATATTTTTGAAAAACTTTTTTTCGAAAATATTGGGGACCCATTAAATATTTGAGGTTCTTGAGGGACCCCTTAAAAGATTTTTTATTCAAAAAAAATTTAAAACTAGTGTTTTTGCATTAGATAGAACACATTTAGGGGGTGAGAGCAGATTATTTTCAAAAATGTTGTTTTTTGGGACACCCTATTATATATATATATATATATATACATATATATATATATATATATATATATATATATATAAATATATATATATATATATATATATATATATATATATATATATATATATATATATATATATATATATATATATATATATATATATACATATATACGTATATATATATGTATATATATATATATATATATATATATATATATATATATATATATATATATATGTATATATATCTATATACATATAAAATATATATATATATATATATTATAAATATATAATATATATATATATATATACATATATATATATATATATATATATATATATATATATATATATATATATATATATATATATATATATATATATATATACATATATATATATATATATATATATATATATATATATATATATATATATATATATATATATATATATATATATATATACATATATATATACGTATGAGAGTATGTAAATTATTATTTTATAAGTATCATTAAATATGATTTTCTCTCAATATTAAATTTATTTTTGATTTTTTTTTTTTTAAAAGAAATTTTCTCTGGATTGTTGCGACCAGTGTCTTCAGCTTAAAAGATTTTGTTTGTTTTTGTTTATATGTTATTTTTAAATATATAAAACTAAAGTTTTCAGGCTTAGCAGATTTTAAGCTCTTTTGGAATCAAATCTTTTGTACCAAGTTTCAGAATTGCAGCATTACTAAAAGCACCATATAAGGGTAATAATAAACAGAAACATTTTCGGCACTTTCAAGAAATAAATCAAGAAATAAATCCAAACTACAAAGGAACTGCCACCCAGGAGTTTACCTTATTAAGTGCCATTGTAACAAAAAGTATATTGGTGAAACAAAAATGCAAATAAAAACACGCATGCAACAACACAAAAACAGTACAATAGGAAATAAAACAGAAAGATCAGCATTATCCACACACATTAAACATTGTGCACAACAAATTAACTGGGACAGTTGCAGAACTCTAAAAGTCAATAACAAAAAGTTTGATAAAAAAGTTTGATAGGAAAGTTCGTGAGGCGCTTGAAATACAGTACCACCAATGTGCCCCTCAACAAATTGGTATCAATTTAGATGAGGGACAAAATGTGTCAACAAAATTCTGGACACCATTTCTAATGCACTTACGTCAGAAAAAGACGAAACCATTCCATTGACATATAATAAAATTGCCGTTTAAAAATAACATACAAACAAAAACAAACAAAATCTTTTAAGCTGAAGACGCTGGTCACAACAATCCAGCGAAAATTTCTTTTAAAAAATAAAGAATAAAAAATAAATTTAGTATTGAGAGAAAATCGTATTTATTGATGTTTAGAAAATAATAATATATATATAATATATATATGTGTGTGTGTGTGTGTGTGTGTGTGTGTGTGTGTGTGTGTGTGTGTGTAAGTTTGTGCATGTGTGTGTATAAATGTTGATATTTATCAATACACACACATACAAAAGCATATTCATTATATATATATATATTATATATATATATATATATATATATATATATATATATATATATATATATATATATATATATATATATATATATATATATATATATATATATATATATATATATATATATATATATATATATATATATATATATATATATATATATATATATATATATATTAGGTACGCGCACTGAAATTTTTAAATTAATCATATAGTACAATGTTATATATCATTAGAAAGGCCTTTAATACAGTATTTTAAAGGTGAAAAAATTATTAAAAACGAACAATTCTAAAAAAAGTTATAACGTTTTTAGTACCAAATTTAAGATATATGGAATTGTTGAAGAAACTGTGGTCAAAATAATTATTTTTTTCACTTAAATTATTATAACTTTGTCAATTTTTATCCAAATATCTATACCTTGGTATCAAAAGATAGGTGCACTAATGAGCTACAAGTTCATATAGGTGCCTGGACGTAGGGTGTATCTTGGGAGCCAGAGGGGGTAATGAAACACCATCTAACCCTTAAGAAAATACAAGTTTTTGTCAAAAATAAGCACTTTTTTAATGTAATTGTTAGATTTTATACATAAAATATTGCCATAACTTGATTCCAGAACACTGCCAAACAAAATAAGGTGATCTTAGAGTTGGCCGTAGATGTGGTTATGATGTTATAACACCCTAATACAATAATCATACATTCTAATAAATAATTTAATCTTTATTACAGTAATTAAATATTTTGTTAAAAAGTAAAAATATATTTTTTTACTATACAACATACATTAGTGATGTGCACACTAACTTTAGGGAAGGGCGTATGTCGCACCGCCCCCCCCCTGCCCCTGCCCCAACGCATAACAAAAAATAAAAATAATTAAATCTTTATTACAATAACTAAATGTTAACAAGTGAAAATAATATTTTATTACTATTCAACATATATTATTGATGTACACATTGACTTTAAATAAAGGAAGTCTAATGCACCACCTCTCCTTCCCCCCCCCCCCTCTTCACCTAACAAAAAATAACGTCATCTTTATTTCAATAATCAAATGTATTGTTAAAAAGAAAAAATAATCTTTTATAACTATACAACATACATTAGTATTGAAAATATTGTTGTATTACATGAAGCAATATTTTTTTTCTATAGAACATACATTAGTGATGTACAATTTGAGGAGAGGGATGGTTTTTCCCCTTCCCCTCAACCAACGTAAAAAAGAAAACACATAGAAATGATATTTTCAACATTTTCGCATGCAATTATTAAAAAAAGAAAGCACAATACAGAATTGTTTTACCAGATTGCACGAGTATACATTTTCTCATTTAAATAATCATATTTAACCAACCAACCTTATAAAAAACAAACAAACAAAAAAACAAATGTTTCAAAACATAGTAATTAATTTATGTCTTGGCTTTTAGTAAATGATTTAAATTAAGTTCCAATGCAACTAAATAAATCATTTTTAACAATAGACACCACGTGAAGGTAAGCCAGAGCCGCCTATCTTTTTTTTTTGCAAGCCACAAAACTTGCTATACCTATTTGCAAGCCACAAAACTTGCGGTACTTATTTGCAAGCCACAAAACTTGCGGTACACATTTGCAAGCCACAAAACTTGCTGTACCTATTTGCAAGCCACAAAACTTGCTGTATCTATTTGCAAGCCACAAAACTTGCGGTACTTATTTGCAAGCCATAAAACTTGCGGTACTTATTTGCAAGCCACAAAACTTGCTGTACCTATTTGCAAGCCACAAAACTTGCTGTACCTATTTACAAGCCATAAAACTTGCGGTACACATTTGCAAGCCACAAAACTTGCTGTATCTATTTGCAAGCTACAAAACTTGCTGTACCTATTTGCAAGCCACAAAACTTGACTTAATTATTATACTAACTATTTTAAAATAAAATTACAAAGTTGTAACAAAAAATCAATATAGCAAATAACAAGAAATGTATATACATATTAAATGTAATAGTTTATTAAATTACTAGTTGCAAAAGATGACTAAGGAACTAAAGTTAAACATATTATAAAGTTTGCACATTAAAAACTAATAGTTGTTTAACTTACCAGGTGTAGCACAAGAGGTAGATACTAAAATTACAAAGTTGTAACAAAAAATCAATATAGCAAATAAGAAGAAATGTATATACATATTAAATGTAATAGTTTATTAAATTACTAGTTGCAAAAGATGACTAAGAAACTAAAGTTAAACATATTATAAAGTTTGCACATTAAAAACTAATAGTTGTTTAACTTACCAGGTGTAGCACAAGAGGTAGATACTAAAATACAAATCAATATTACAAATAACGAGAAATGCATACACATATTAAATTTATTATTTTTTTAAATTACTAGTTGCAGCAGCTGACTAAGGAACTAAAGTTAAACATATTGTAAAGTTTGCAAATTAAAAATTAAGAGTTATGTAACTTACCAGGTGTAGTACAAGAGGTAGATACTAAAATTAAAAAATTAATATTGCAGCAAATGGGAAATCCATACACGTCAAGTAATAAATAAATAAGTAAGAAATGCATATTTATGTATATTTCTTTAATGGTTAATTGAAGTTATGCTATAATAACTTACCAGCTGTAGTCTGTGCAAATTGGCCTAAAGATAACAAAAAAGTTAAATAATCAAAAAAAATATATATATCTTGAAATTGTCAACAGTCAATAAAAATAACAGTTATCAAATCAGTTCTGCTTTACGTACAACAACCTATGTAACTAAAAAAAAAGCAATAAAAAAAAAATAAAAAACATAAATTATATTACTGTATTTTAAAATTATATTACTGTATATTAGAAAAACACTAACAAGATACTTTTATAAGAATAAACATATTATTGTAAAAGTATCTTTGTAATTTTACAAAAACAAGCTTATTAATAATAAGCTTATTCATATAAAAATATCAATAATAATAATATTTTAAAATATCAATAATAATATTATTCTTAAAATATCAATAAAATCATAATATTATTCTAAAAAAATAATAATGTTATTCTAAAATTATCATTAATAATATTATTCTAAAAATATTTTGTCAAAAACTGTATTGGCTTCAGCCAATAAAGTTTTACTTTAAAGTATAATAATGTCATTTGTATATTTTTATATATATGGTGTATTAACAACATTGGCATCTGATACTATTAGTTAATAAAATATTCCAAAGTAACTGTTTAATCTTAAATCCTAATCTTTTTTAATATATACTATCATTGGTATAACTTATACCAAAGATTAAGGTTTTTAAACTTATACTATAAGTTTAAAAACCTTAATCTTTGTTTACATATCATGATGATATGTAAACAAAGATTAATGTTTTAAAACTTATAACTTTTTTAAATAACAAAACAATAATGATAAGTTTAAAAACCTTAATCTTTGTTTACATCATGATGATATAAACAAACTTTGTTATTATCATGAAAAAGAAATTAACTTACTTTTTGAAGTCTGTTTTGTAATGACTTTTACCATTTTTTATTTATTAAAATAATCTAATATTAAAAATTAAATAATACAATGTAGTAAGAATTTTTTTGTTTACCATTCGCCACCCCCCTATCCTCCCCGTATTTCTCTTACCGATAAAACAAAAACAAAAACAAAAAAAACCGAATTTAGGTACCAAAAGTCCTACACTTCTTATACTATCTGCTCCCTAATATTTTTGGCTGAAATTTGGCATGTACAAAGAAAATGCATGCAAAAAAGTTCCTGAATAACAAAAAAAGCGGAAACTTCATTCCTTCGATAAGAACTTAATGTGAGAACATCAACGAAATTTTCATGAAAGTTTTTAGCAAAACTAACCATAAAAAAGTTTAGTGGTTATAAATAAAAGTACTATAAAAATCAAGCCTAACCTTTTTTCTTTCCAAATATACTTTTTGTTTATATATGTTTCTAAAAAAAAACACCACTAAAAACGTTAGTCTAACCCTACTTCAAAAAAGCAGTATATTTAAAAAAGCACCTCGTTACATATCTGCTCCCTAATATTTTTTGTTGAAATTTGGCACATAAATAGAAAATACATGTATAAAGGTGGCTGAACAATCAAAAAAGCGGAAACTTCATGCCTTCGACTACAAATTTATGTGAAAACATCAACTAAATATTCAGGAGCAAAATAATCCGTTAAAAAGTTTAGTAACCATACATAAAAGTTTAAAAAAAATAAAGATCAGCTTCTCTTCTTTCCAAAAAGTATCTATGTGTATATATGTGTTGTGTTTTGATTATTTTAGATTATGTTTTTATGTTTTGATTATTATGATTATGTTTATTTTAGAGTAGAAAAACTTAAGAATTAAAATATTGTAGTTCTTTATACAAGTGCTTCAATTTTCTACTCTTATCTAAATAAAATATAGATAGAGCTCTAAGACCTTCTCGTTTGGATACATTACCGAACTCACCTTCGGCAACAAAATTATTTAAACATTGGCTCAGAACATTTGAATATTATCTTGATGAACTCCCTCAAGAACTCAATAAGTTAAAAATCCTGACTAATTTTATTGTGCCCGATGTTTATGAAATAATAAGCGAATGTCCAAATTATGAAGCAGCAATACAAGCTTTACAATCTGTGTACATCAAACCATCAAATGAGGTTTATGCACGACACCTCTTGGCAACTCGTAAGCAACAGCCAGGAGAAAGTTTTGATGAGTATTTACACGCTCTTAAAGTTTTAGCAAAAGAATGTAACTTTAAACAGGTGTCTGCTATTGAATATCGCGATGAATATATTAGAGATGCATTTATAACAGGGATAAATTTACAGGTTGTCAGACAGCGACTACTAGAAAACAGTACAACAAGTCTGGATGAAATATTTTCAAAAGCTAGAACCTTGGAATCAGCGCAGAAAAATGCTGAAAATTACCTCCAGTATAATACATCAGATACAACAGTAGCTGCAATAACAAAAAAGCCAAAGCAATTTAACTCAAATTCTGTTTCAAATTGCTGGAACTGTGGGAATCAAAGACATGCTAAAGCTGTCTGTCCAGCTAGAGAGTCGATTTGTTTTAAATGTGAGAAAGTTGGTCATTTTGCCAAGTTATGTATCTTCTAAACTTACAACAGCAGGGATGAATCTTGTTGATCAACCTTTAAACTCATACAATCCTTCACTCACTTGACTAGACTACTCTGAACATAAAACTAATTTAAAGAACATTTCTGCTTCCATTTCACCTTTGACTAAATCAACAATTGGCATGTTGGTTAATGGTTCATTCGTAAATGCTCTCATTGACAGTGGTAGCACTGATAGTTTTATTCACCCTCGATTGGTACAAAAACTAAACCTAACAGTTCATAGACAAAACCAAAAACAGGTATCTATGGCTTCATCATCTTTATCTAGTACAGTTTGTGGAGTAGTTTTTGTCAATATTTCAATAAAAAATGAGCATTATAAACTAGTAAAACTTAACATCTTAAATGAGTTATGCATGGATGTTATTCTGGGTCTCGATTTTCAAAAACAACACAAAGCTGTAACCCTTAAGTTTGAAGGAAAAAGACCCCCACTATTAATTTGTGGTTTGTCGAAGTTGAATGTATCTCCCCCTAGTTTATTTGGCAATTTATCGCCTAACTGTAAACCAATAGCTTCAAAATCTCGTCGATATAGCAAAGAAGACCAATTATTCATTGAAATGGAAGTACAACGTATGCTTAAAGAGGACATTATCGAACATTCAAATTCTCCCTGGAGAGCTCAGGTAGTTGTAACTAAAGGAGAACGCTCTAAGAAAAGATTAGTTATTGACTACAGTCAAACAATAAATAAGTATACTCAACTAGACGCTTACCCATTACCAAAGATTGATGATCTGGTAAACAAAATTGCTCAATACAAAATATTTAGTACAGTTGATTTGAAATCAGCCTACCATCAAATTCCAATTACCAAAAATGATAGAAAATTTACAGCTTTTGAAGCAAATGGGAGTTTGTTCCAATTTAAGCGAATGCCTTTTGGAATTGAAAATGGGGTTGCTTGTTTTCAACGTACCATAAACGAATTTATAGAAAAGGAAGGACTTTTAGATACTTATGCTTATCTAGATAATGTGACAATATGTGGTAAAACCCAAGAGGAGCATGATCTTAATCTGGAAAAATTTCTCAAGTCAGCTAAAAATATAAATCTTACTTATAATCATGATAAATGTAGCTTTTCCCAAGATAAAATTTGCATTCTTGGTTATCTTATAGAAGAAGGAAAACTCAAACCAGATCCCAGTCGTCTTCAACCTATGAAAGAAATGCCTCCTCCTCATGATGCTAAATCCATGAAGCGTATCATCGGACTATTCTCATACTACTCTAAATGGATTCCAAACTTTTCCAATAAGATAGCTTCTCTTACCAAAAACACCAAGTACCCATTAGATCATCAGTGTGTAAATGATTTCAATCAACTCAAACAAGACATTGCAAATGCTGTGACAGATTATGTGGACGAAAATGTTCCATTTGAAGTAGAAACGGACGCATCTGACATTGCTATAGCTGCAGTTCTTAATCAAAATGGCCGCCCTGTAGCTTTCTTTTCAAGATTACTTCAAAAATCTGAACTCAAACATCCCTCTATTGAGAAAGAAGCTTGCGCAATAATAGAAGCAGTCAGACATTGGAAACACTACCTTACTGGACGCCATTTTAAACTTATTACTGATCAGCAACCTGTATCCTATATCTTCGAAAAGCAACATAAATCAAAGATTAAAAATGATAAAATTTATCGATGGAAAATTGAACTATTGTGCTATAATTATGACATTGTTTACAGGGAAGGGAAACTAAATATTCCAGCTGACACATTTTCTAGAATACATTGCTCAGCAATAAACACTAACAACTTAATTCAGCTTCATCAATCACTCTGTCATCCTGGAGTAACTAGGTTTTATGCTTTTATTAAAAACCGTAATTTACCTTTCTCAATTGATGATGTTAAACGAATAACTAATCAGTGCAAACTATGTTGTGAATGTAAGCCTAGATACTACAAACCACTAAAATCTAATTTGATAAAGGCGACACAACCACTGGAACGTTTGAACTTAGATTTTAAAGGACCTCTTCCTTCGGAAACTAATAACAAGTATTTTTTAACCATAATTGATGAGTATTCTCGTTTTCCTTTTGCAATCCCGTGCCCTGATATTTCAGCTCAGACTGTAATTAAGTGTTTGTCACAAGTATTCTCGATTTTTGGTTTGCCAAGTTACATCCATTCCGATAGAGGTTCAGCCTTCATCAGTAAAGAATTAAAACAATACTTACTAGAGAAAGGTATTGCAACAAGTCATACTACAGCATATAATCCACAAGGGAATGGACAAGCCGAAAAGTATAATGGAACTATAATGAAGTCTATTGAGATTGCTACTAGACAACACAATTTACCCATCAAAGCTTGGGAAAAAGTATTGCCAGACGTTCTCCATTCTATAAGATCCTTAGTAAATACTAAAACAATGGAGACACCTCATGAAAGAATGTTTAAGCACCTTCGTAAAACAGCCTCTGGATGCACTTTACCTTCATGGTTAAATCATCCTGGACCAATACTAATGAAAAGACATTTACGTAATAATAAGTATGAACCACTGGCAGACGAAGTGCAACTCATAGATGCTAATCCTCAATATGCTCACATAAAGTATCCAGATGGAAGAGAAACCACAGTTTCCCTAAGACACTTAGCTCCAACAAGTTCTGCTCCGATCATTGATCAAACAAACGATATTGAACCTTCACCAGAGAATGCCTTTAATAATATTAAACGTTCACCAGAGAATGCTTTTAATAAACCTTCTTACCCCTATAAACCATTAACACCTGAGAAATATGGACTTACCAATACCAATCCTGAAAACTTTCCTAACCAGCCTCCCCTTTATCAACCTCCGCCAGCTGAAAATCTTGTCAATGATGCTTGTCCAATCAATCCATTGTTATTAATAACACCTGGAAAAGACACACGTAGATCCTCAAGAGCAATTCGTCGACCATTACGACTTATAGAAGAAGATACATGAAAAACCTTGTTTGTATTATAGAGTATTCTGTTTGTATTATGGCTGCAGAGAATGTTGTGTTTTGATTATTTTAGATTATGTTTTTATGTTTTGATTATTATGATTATGTTTATTTTAGAGTAGAAAAACTTAAGAATTAAAATATTGTAGTTCTTTATACAAGTGCTTCAATATGTTTCTAAAAAGAAACTCCACAAAACTACGTCTACCCCACGCTGCCTAAAAAAAAGTGAAAAAAACGAGTCACAAGATTTTATCACAAAAATCGGTTCAGTAAATGACGTAAATGCGCGTACCTATATATATATATATATATATATATATATATATATATATATATATATATATATATATATATATATATATATATATATATATATATATATATATATATATATATATATATATATATATATATATATATATATATATATATATATATATATATATATATATATATATATATATATATATATATATATATATATATATATATATATATATATAATGAATATGTATGCATCATATAAACATTATAATATAATGTATAAATCATGTATATATAAATAATTATACATCAGATTAAATGAAACAACACAGTAACAAGGTGTCAACATACGTAATAATCTTAATAATTATTTATACAACCCATGATGGAAAATAATAAAATGGAATGAAACAACACAGGAACAACAAAATATATACAATTTATTTATCCATTTACCTATTTCTACAGCCATGATATTACAAATCTTTGCATATATATATATATATATATATATATATATATATATATATATATATATATATATATATATATATATATATATATATATATATATATATATGATATATATATATATATATATATATATATATATATATATATATATATATATATATATATATATATATATATATATAAATTAATATGTATATATTAATTTATATATAACACAGACACACAAAATATCAATACTATTCTATAAAACACAAAGTGAAAAGTCTTGGTGCAATTTTGATGTCTTTTGTTAAAATTCCCTTATTATACTTGTAACTTAGTTACTCTTTTATTTAAATATTGCATCGATTATAGTTTATAGATCATAGAGTATAGAATATAGAAAATTAAAAAATATCTTTAAACGATAAATAACTAAACAAAATAATAGTCTTAAAATAATCAACCAAAACAAGTAGACATATTTAAATAACCGAGTTTGCGCATAATATTGTATGCGCCAAGTTGATAGTATTAATTTTTTTACTTATTTTTAAGGTAATTAAGACGTCTTATGTAGGTCTTAGCGACGTCAATAGACGTCTAAATATTGAAGTCCTGATATCGTCTTTATATTAACGTCACAAGGACGTCCTAACAAAGACGTCTTTACCAGACGTCTTTAGGACGTCCTTATTTGGTCTGAGACGTCGCGACCTAGTTAAGACGTCCGTAAGACGTTTGATTCACGTCTGTGCCCGCTGGGTCGAGGTTTCGTTGCTAACGTTATTTCTTACTTAAACTCTTCTACACCTTGACAACATTTCTGTTACATTCATGAAAAAAAAACGTTTTGGCTTTGATCTTTAGGTAATTACGATAGATCGAGAAGGCTAACACTAGGTGTTATGCAATAACACTGGGTGTTATTGCATGTTTAAAGACTGTTTGACTTTTTTATTAGCGTTATTCGCCAAACCTAACTAAGTAAATCCATCTCTTTTTTTTAAGAACTTTTTAAGGGCATCTTCGTCCATACTTCTAGAAGAGTTAAAAATAATTTCATTAGAAAATTTTTGATTTAGTCTATTGTTAATTGAAGTAGGAACTTGTATTAAGATTTGAGGGGGATAATTTAAATTTATATTAATATACGATAATTCATCGTTTTTTATAAGGCCAATAAGAACTTTTCGAGTGGTTACACGTAAAATCAAAAAATTTTCAATTTTTAGATTAATGTTTATTTCAATTTGGAAGCCAATGTTTTTAAAAATTTTTATAATATTTTTTCTGATTTTGTCAAGTTGAGACCCTGATTTTTTTATGCATTATTATTAATAAAACATCATCGCAATACAAACCTAATTGATTAAAATGAACTATTTTAGCTACAGAATTTAGGAATCATCCATAAACTACTTTTTATTTGGGGGGAGGAAGAGAGTTTAGTGGTTTTGTGACAACTCATTCGGAACTTGTTACTAAAGAGTCACGGTGTTGTATGTTTAAGGGGTCGTCAACAAATTAGTGGACGATCTCCCTTAAAATGAATAAATATTTGCAAATTTGTAAATTTGCAAGTATTTATATATTTTAAGGGCTCCGTCGTAACTTCCCATTGTTGCATCAAAACATTTGTGCGTGGTTATTTTCTTCTATGTCTCTTTATTTAAATAGAGTAAAGTTTTCTGCAAAGTTTAATTAGGCAAGTGCTGTCTGTAATTTCAGTGTGCATTTTTTTTCAAACTCTATTGTTTTATCTAAAATTTCTGCTGTAATTGAAGGACAAAAATCATTAATATAAAGTTATATAAATGTTCATTCACTTTTATTACTAATTTTAAAAAACCAATTTGCAACATTAGTGGTGCTTTTCCATAGCTGCAAATTTAGTTTTTTTTTAATAATACTTTTTTGTTTTGTCTATTTTAATTTTATTAACATGCCCTAGTTCCCTTTTTGAAGTAACTAGTATTTTACTAGTTAGGGAGTTTATTTTGAAAATTTAAAATCTTTTAGTGTGATAAACGCTTGCGCTCCAAAGTGGGTCAGAGGTGAGCAAAACCTTTCAAAACCAACTTTTTTATTGGAATAATTTTTTCTCTACTGTGATTTTTATTTCTCCGTATATCAATTTTACTACAAAAATGGCAATATTTTATTTTTTAAATATTGGTAAAAAAATATATAAATATGTAAAAAAATCATATAAAAATGAAATATGAGAGCAGCAATACAGTTTTACAGCATTTTAATTTTTTAAAAGTTTGTATTAGTCCATTGACATCATATGTTGAAGTAAGAAGAAGGAATATGAAAGTTTATTTTTTATGTTTTTTTTCAATGTATTTTTCAAAAGAACCCCTCAAAATGCGCAACATTTTTTTAACACTTACATTACACAAGCCGAAAAACACTAGGCCGCACATGTGATTTACTTTAAATTGCACTCTCATATATAGATAAAAATTTGCAACCAAATTTTCTAACCTCAGCTGAGCGCAATAGGTGCTATGCTTTTTATAATAGACGTCTTCACAGTTCCGATAATTTCATGCGCGCGCATATTTAATATCACGTCATGGTACTTTATGCGCAGAATCGCATGAAAACAATAGTAACCTTGAAAGAAACAGTTGTTTACATGAGATTTTTTTAAATTTTTTTAAAAAAGACATTGATTTAGTTTAATATAAGTTTATTTTACCCATTTTAAGTTTAAAATCTATACTGTTTATATGTTTTTGTTATATAATATTTGTAAGGAAAAAACAAATTTGTACGTTGAGTGTAAAAGTTTTTAATATTGATTAATAAAAATGAGCTTTCGGGAAAGAAGATTGTTTAATAGTAATTTATATATATATATATATATATATATATATATATATATATATATATATATATATATATATATATATATATATATATATATATATACACTCATACACATATATTAGGTACGTGAGTAAAAATTTCAAATTGTTTAAATACTATATATATATATCATTAGAAAGAAGATTATTACAGTATTTTAAAGGTGAAAAAATTTTCAAAATCGAACAATTGGTTCAAAAGTTATGACGGTTTAAGTACCGATTTTTCTATATATGGATTTGTTGAAGAAACTGTGGTCAAAATAACGTATTTCTTCACTTAAATTGTCATAACTTTGTCAATTCTTATCGAAAAACAAATATCTTGGCATCAAAAGATAGGTGTAAGAGTGGGCTACAACCTTATGCTAAACTCTAACCGCCGGGCGTATCCGATGGACAGAGGGGGCACCAAACCACTATCTTTCCCGTGTGAAACTGAACACTTTTTTAGAAAAAAAGTTTTTTTTTAAGGCATAAGCAATATAAATATACAAAAAAATTGTTTTAAATTTATACTAAACTAAAGTATATGAGAGGTGTATGTTAGCAATAATGGTGTGTGTGGTGGTGATAGTTTGATACACCCTTGTATCAAAAACGACTTGATTTTATAAATATTTATCTTTACTAAAATGAGTAAAATTAGTATACAATATAAAATTATGTTATACAAGATCTTACGTATACAAGTGGTGTTTCTATTATGGGAGGGGCGTATGACCCCCCCCAACCTAAAAAAAAAAAAATGCAATTACTGTTTTCAAAATTTGAATAATAAATTTAAAAAAAAATCATGAAACTGGAAACAATTTAAAAAATAAATTCATACCAGGCAACCACCAAATATGAGAGATAAATGTAAAACTCATAATAGATATGTTGATGTTTTAGTACTATAATATCAAAAACATTTTTAATTCTTGAAAGATCTGATTGAATATTTAAAGTACAAAAACAAAGAAGTAAAAAACATATTCCACTAGATTAAAATATACATTAGTGGTGCATCCATGGTCATAAGAGAGTGGAGTATAAGGGAGGGCCTATCCAAATATATCATAAGGGAAGGGGCATTAGAATGCCTCTAACCAAACCAATTGGATATATATTGCTTTAAAAATTATACAACTACTATTGTGGAGCTATAATTATAAGTCAATTGGCTGTAAAAAACATGTCATCTTTATAACCAAGTATAGCAACATCCTATATTAAAATCTTTCATGTGATTATTCCATTAACAGAAGTAAGGACCATACAGTATGGTTAACGAGCTAGCCATTCTGTTTGGTTAACAAACAAATTTCTGTTTCAAAATAAATAATAAATAAAATGTTAACATTAAAAAAAAAAATTTTAATTATTTTAAAAATAATTTAATATATTTTTGTCTTGGCTTTTAGTGAATGATTAATATGATTAATTCCAGTAATGAAACTATATTTTAATTATTTTCAACAATCGACACCACACGAAGGTAAGCCAGAGTCCTCTATCAAAAAATTTAACAAATTACAACACTTGCTATATAATTTAGGCAGGTCACAATACTAGCTGTATTATTTATGCAAGTCACAACACTTGAAATACATCTTTGGCAAGTCACAACACTTGTTGTATTATTTATGCAAGTCACAACACTTGCTATATATTTTAGGCAAGTCACAACACAAGCTGTATTATTTATGTAAATCACAACACTTGCTTTATATTTTAGGCAAGTCACAACACTTGTGTTTTTAAATTCATTAAATTGTAACTCCCCAGAAACAACATCAGCAGCATGCTGAATCTTTTTCATGCAATAGTCAGCAGCTTCAATATCAGTTTCATCATCTTTCCAGTAAGAAATGGTGTAAATGAAGTCATTTTTTCTTTTATTAACTTTGCCACTTGATTTTTTGTCTTTAGCAAATCTCATCTCTTGCTTTGCATCAATTCAGTCAATATGTAAATCTGTTTTTACGTGCTACATTATTTGACCATTTAACAATCTTTTCTCTTAAACTTAAATCTGGAGTGTCTAGATAGTCAACAGTCTTATTCTTTTTTGATCTTAGTTTGCAAGGGATATAGCAAATTGTTGTATTAGGAAACATACCCATTAATTCCTCACTATCTATATTGTGAAGCTATGCACTAGCTGTTTTCTCTTTAAATGTCTACGCCATATATATATATATATATATATATATATATATATATATATAATATATATATATATATATATATATATATATATATATATATATATATATATATATATATATATATATATATATATATATATATATATATATATATATATATATATATATATATATACGGCCACTATCTAACCTTTATTTATAACTTAAATATTTTTTTTGCTGTTTTAGATGCTCAATGTTACAGTGAAGTTGTAGCCGACAACATCAGTTAGTTACTTTCTGTATTTAATAGCTTAGTAGTTATTATATAGTATATATATATATATATATATATATATATATATATATATATATATATATATATATATATATATATATATATATATATATATATATATATATATATATATATATATATATATATATATATATATATATATATACACACACATATATATATATATACACACACATATATATATATATATATATATATATATATATATATATATATATATATATTATATACTATATAATAATTACTAAGCTATTAAATACAGAAAGTAACTAACTGATATTGTCCGCTACAACTTCACTGTAACTTTGAGCATCTAAAACAGCAAAAGAAATATTTAAGTTATAAATAAAGGTTAGATAGTGGCCGAACAATAATTTGAAACAGTTTAACAAATTTATATTAAAATAACTTATTCATAAAGATATTCCTTAATAAGTAAACTTTATTTATTAAGGAATATCTTTATGAATAAGTTATTTAAAAGACAATATTCTTTATTATAAAGACAACTTCAAATTAGATATGTAACACCTTTAGTGTGTATTAATAAAGTAATAATCTTTAGTTACCATGTATCATTAAACTATACCATTGAAATTGTTAAAATTTACTAAACTTTCAAATCGCCTGTCTGAATTCACCTAAAAGCCAATTTTAAATTACAATTTTATTATAAAATTAAACTATAACACTGACATTGCAAAAAATAAGTTTAAATGACTAAATAACTAAAATAGTTTAAATTTTATTTGTTCTAAAATGTCTATAGAAAAAAACAACAATGACTCGATAAAAAAAAAGCAACAATTAGGAATACATAAATAAACAACTGTAAAAATTTTTTGAGGATAATTGTAATAAAGATCTTTAAATGAATACTGAAAGCAGATAACTAAATACTAAAATAATAAAGCATAACAAAGAAACTGACTTATCCTCTCAAAAGATCTTCTAAAAAACAATTGAAAAACTTTTTTTAACAAAATAATACAAACATTTGTCTAGACTATATCTACTGATCTTAAGTTAAAAGAAACTAATGGGTATGGATGTGTAAAATAACTAACTAATATTGTTGGCTGCCTGCTTTGAAATGCTAAAACAATATAACAAATGTTTTGCATTATGTTACATGTATTATACATAAAAGTTGAATAATTTTACTAACATATATAAGTTATATATGAATGTATTTTATTTAATAAATAAAGTACGATTCAACTGTAATAAATAATATAAATAAAATAAATAAAATTCAACTGTAATAAATAATATAAATAATTTACATTATTTATTACAGTTGAAAGATTAACAGTCAATTATTAAAAAAAAAAAAGATTAACAGTATTACAACACTCTTACATTATAATACAATGTAAGATAAAATGTTATAATATTAATAATGTCTTTAAACTTTAAAGTAACATTAAAATTCATTTTATTTAAATGAATTTTAATGTTTCCTTACTAAGGTAAGTAAACTAATGTTTCCTTACTAAGTAATTTAATACTTTAAACTTTAAAGTTTAAATTAGGTTACTTTAAACTTTAAAGTTTAAAGTATTAAATTTTAATTTTTTTTTTTAATTTTAATAAATAGGAAACAATATTGAAAACCTTTATCATTATTTTGACCTTCCATTTTATTTAATTTAAAAAAAAACTGAAAATGTTATTCAATCTAAATCAAATATAAAAAATGTTTGATTAACCCCTCTGTCTCCCGCGCCCATTTCAGCAAAATGAGAATTAGGTACCAAAAGTGCGACACCCTGCTACAACTTTTTTTTCAATGAAATTTTCCAGGTGCATAGATAAATGAAAAACTTAAATGAAAGAATAGTATAGAAAAATTAATGAGCATATCTTCAACATTAATTTCATGCCCAAAGTACAACAAAGTTTTAGACATCAAAAAACTCTTTAAAAAAGTCTAGTAAAATAATGAACCTAACAGTAACAAAGTTTAACTATTCTAGTTTCTAAAAATAATTCATATTGATATCAAATTCTAAAAAGTTTTCCAACTAAACACGTCTTCCCTACGCTAGCTAAAAAAAATTATTAAAAGCGTGGCACAGTTTTTTAGCACAAAATTCGGTTTCGTAAAACGCGGATTTCCACGTACCTACATATATGTATATACACACACATATATGTATATATATCATATATATATCCGTATATATATATATATATATATATATATATATATATATATATATATATATATATATATATATATATATATATATATATATATATATATATATATATATATATATATATATATATATATATATATATATATATATATATATATATATATATATATATATATATATATATATATATATATATATATATATATATATATATATATATATATAATTGTATATACACACAAACACAACTATCAATGCACATTTCACACTCAAAATGTGTGAAATGCAAAAGATAAAGAGTATTCTTTAAGAGCTTTTATTTCTTTCATATATATCCTATAAAACAAACATATAAAAAGTATAAATATATAAATAATATAAATTTAGCTATAAAATAGTTAAAATAAAGTTAAATAATTCAAAATCGATACTTTTATTATGAATAAAAGTAAAGAAATCTCATGTAAACAACTGTTTCTTTCAAGAATGCTTTCATAATATATTAGTGTATTTACTTCCTTTCATGCGATTCTGCGCACAAGGAACAATGACGTATTGTTAAATGTTCGCGGATCAAATGGTAAACAGTCTAAAAATATAAAAAAATGAGTGTGCTAAAGAAATTTACGACCACCAAAATGACTGTACAGTGATATATTTTATTATGTAGTACTTAAACCAAGATAAAAATTTGCACCTCTCAGATTTGCTATGAAAGCCAAGTTATTGAAAACAGATGTTGATATTTTTCTGTCTCCTATGACGTGACTTTTTAATTGAATTTTGCTAAAATTAGGTGTTGTAGACTCATAACAATTTAAAAATCCTTTATTGACTAAAGACTATCAAAACGAAAAGATAATTCAGCTAATACACCTTGAGATTTGTTATTCATTTAAACTAGATAAAAGTATTAATCAAAGCTCTATTTTAGCATGAAACATAATGATGCTTTACCAAACAACAAAAAATCATAAAAACTGGCAATATCATTAGCAACACAGATGAAATACACATAAACATAAACAAAATTGGACTAGAAAGCTGCAATGATGTTTAGATATAAAAAAAGTGTACCTTTCCAGTATTATTTTCACTTGGTCTTTTGTATCCAAGTCAAAAGTTTTGCAAACAGTTCTAAAGATAAATCAGTTGTCATTATGTGCATTTTTTTACTTGCTTTGTTAACGACAGACAACAGTTAACAAGAAAATAACAACTTTAACATAAAAGTTAAAGAGCCAATCTTTTTTATAAACAATTTCATCATTCAACTAAATAAAAACAACAAAATTATTCAGATCATTATAATAAAAAAAAAAGTTGCAAGCCTACTGATTGCTTCTTCTTTTCTATTGTTTGTTTTACTGGCACTTGAACAAGTAAATACAGACAGAAATTGTTTACAGGTTTTATTTTTTGTCTGAAAATAAATATTTTAACTTAATATGTTGTAAACAACGTTCTTCAAGCACAACACAAAAATATTAATCCAAAAATAAACGGTAAAACTTTTTAAAACAATAACTTAATTGAGTCAAGATCATACCAATACCATTTTACTGGCGCCACACTATCCACTTTTTGCTTCTTCTCATTAACATTTTCTAGCTAAACAACTGCAATTATATATATATATATATATATATATATATATATATATATATATATATATTATAGTGTATATATATATGTGTATATATATATATATATATATATATATATATATATATATATATATATATATATATACATATAAATATATATATATATATATATATATATATATATATATATATATATATATATATATATATTATAGTGTATATATATATGTGTATATATATATATATATATATATATATATATATATATATATACATATATATATATATATATATATATATATATATATATATATATATATATATATATATATACTATAATATATTAAGGTATATATATTATGTATATTTTAAATAACATATTACTTTATTACATATATCCAATCAGAACGTAACAAAGATATCGTAATTACGATATTGTGGGTTAAATTTTTTTACCCATTTTTGTTAGGTTCTATTGGCAATAATTATTTTCAATTTTTAAGCAAATAATGATTTCCTTATTAACAACGAAAGTTGTTAATAAACAAATAATAATTTGTTTATTATAATTATTATAATAAGCAAATTATAATTTGCTTATTAACAACTTAAGTTGATTTCCTGTGGGAAACGTTAGTGAATTTTCCCCTCATCATCCCTAAAAAAAAATTTCTACTGGGTGTTATTTAATTTAACATTTAAATTAAAATTTTCTTATTTTTTTTTTAAAGGTCTCGATATAAAAGAGGTTTTTTCTACGTCTTATTAAAGACGTAAAACCGATTGACGTCTTTTCGACATCTTTTTTGAAGACGTCTTTTCAAAAGACGTCTTTTCCATGTCTTTATTTAGGCTGATTATAAAAAGACATAACAAGTCATAAAAAAGACGTCTTTTATTCGTCTAAAGATATCTTTTTTCCCACTGGGTATTTAACCC